TCATGTTTAAGGACTGCAGTGATTTCCAGGCTGGTTCTGAAATCCTGTCAAAAGGAAGGTTTGATGCCTTGGATGAAACAGCTATTTCTGGCATAAGCTGCAAACATGGATTTCCCATGAAGTTCTTGAATTTGAAAGGAGGTGAAAGGTATTTAACTGCCATCCCTTTATATCAGATTGATTTTATTCAAAATGTTTTCACTTGTTTTGATTTTTCAGTACCTAAATTAAAGTAAAATAAACTGGAGTGCACTTTACCAGACATTATTATATGACCGTTTCCCACAAGGACTGGGGACTACCGAATTCACGAATTTGATTGGCTGCAATCGATATTGACCGCAGTCTAGATTTTCCCATCTAGACCGGCATCTAGACCGGTTACATTTTATGGTAAAAAAGTTGTAAAGTAAAATACAAAAATATTGCATGACTACTTTCTTTTAAAAATACTAAAATATTATGGAAGTGACAACAAGCCTGGCGAGAAAAAAAAGGTAAAAAGGACGAGCAAAAACTTTTGCAGATTAAAATTCAGCTCATTGCCGTTCACAAGCAAAATGTCAGGTAGTACAAACCATTTACATTAAACGAGGTAACAGTTTCTCGTTTGACCATATAATAAGAGGTAATAATAAGAGGTAAGTATTGCCCTATGTATGTTTGATGGTTTGAAACAGACACAGAAATATTATACTTTCACCATGATGTAGAATGACAATTAAAGGTGGGTTTGAAATAATGTGTTGACTGTCAGAGTTCTACCGACTACTTACATGTATTTCACAACAAAAAAGCTCAGTGAAAATATTGCAATAGCTGCCTACTCTTCCCATTTCTGCTTCAAATTATTTATTGTTCCAAAACATCTATTATTTTTGTAGGTTAGGGTATGCTGTCTATTTATTGAAAGACCTTGTAGCAACTTAGGGGAATGGAGTAACAATACATTTCATGTATGACATTTGCTGCCTTTTTGAAAGTCACATCAAGGTAAGCACAGTTTCCCCCCTTTGTAGTTTTATACTTTACAGGGTGTATGTTTTAAATTGGCTTTTGTGGACTGTAAAAATATACCCATGAACAGAAATGCCAGGCAGCCAATTAATGCTAGTTATGATTTCTTCCTCCATTACTGTAGTTTTTTAGAAGTAATAGGACTAACTACAGTGAATATGTTCTTAATTTGCAGAAGCAAAAATTTGGGGACCTTTTAGATGAAGTTGAACTTGGCTGCCCACAGTTTCATGTTTATGGACATGGTGCCAAATGCCAGGTTATTAGAATGCAGTTAAAAATAGCTTGTATATGCAGAGTGATTTCATTGACCTGATGATTAACTATACATTTCTTAGGGTTAATCCCTTAACAATAACATCAAGGTAATGGCCAATAATCTGCCATTCTCTAACAATAGTTTCTTTGTATGATGACTGTGATGATGAAGTTTATGAGTGCTATTAAAATTTTAATCTGCTTACATACATTTTCTTATAAACCACCCTCTAAACAAATAACATTAATAATAATAATAATAATGATGATGATAATAATAATAATAATTATACTTGTAAATTCCATGTGGATATGATCAAATGCATTTCAAAAACAGATATGAAACACAACATAACATCAGAATCCTATCTGGCTGGAGGCAAACCAGTGGCAGGGAGAGGACTTGATCCAAAGACCATCAGATATTAAGTCCAGTGTCCAGTGCCTAGGTAACCACTAGGCCATGCTGCCTCTATAATTGAAATAAGCAATAACTACATGTAATTGTTTTGTTATCTATATACTCTGTAGTTGTTGTATAGTCCACTGCGCTTAGAAGGCTGGGGGATGGTTGATGGGGAAGTACTGGAGCGTCTTTGGTCCTACCTTAAGCAGTTTAAGAAAATGACAAAGGAAATGTCTGCAAGTCACAGAGAAGATATTATTTCAGATGCTCTGTTCTATCTTTGTGAAAAACAGAGGTCAAGACTCGGTTAGTAAACCTTGTAAACAACAAAATGGTTCTATTGACTCAAAATGTTAATGGGTTAAAGTGAAATGATCTATTTCTTTGCCAAGATCCATCGATTTCAGTTAGAGAATGCTACTAATGTTACCAAACACAATGTTGTAATTATTTTACAGTAAAATGGCATTCATATATGCACTTTAACTACATCTTTACTCCCTTTTTGCTAAAAAGGAGAGTACTGTTGTTGTTGTTTTTCTGTTATTTAATTTTTGTATCTTTTCTTCAATTCAAGTCCTGTTGTTGGTGAAACAGAGGAGGAGAGTGATTGAACTAAAAAAATCTGCTGAGCTGGAGTTAGAAGAAATCAAAAAGAACTCTCCTGGTGTGTTTTTACATTAGAAAATGATTCTTTACTGTTACAGTATCGCATACAGAAGACAAAAAATAATAATTATTAAGAAGCTTTTATATAATTATGTAGAGCACATTAAGCTGCTCATTGCTTTAAGAGCTAAACATTTTTCTGATATTGAACCTTTAAATATTATTGTTCTAGTACCTATTAGAGATGAAATGATCGAGGGATGGAAAAATGATGAGGCTGCCATCCTTAAAAAGTCTAAACCTGATGATGGTATGTACATGTATTAGTAAACAAAGTTCTGATGGACCCTCAGTGGTAATCATTTTGCTACCAGCTTTTAGCTCGCTGAATTTGATTTCCAGTCAGCTGTTTTCCTTTTAATTGCATCCATTTTTATGGTTTCAGTTGATTTGGGTCCTCATGGTTGGGTGATACAGTACTTCACTCTTCTGCAGAAGT